TCCTTATAACTAACAGTAGTTCTTCCATTGATCATAATTTACCAACGCTGAGGTCACCTCCTTATAACTAACAGTAGTTCTTCCATTGATCATAGTGAGAACGAACATACCATAATCATCCTCTGGTAACGAACATAAAAGTAGCATCGCCTTGTCTTCATCCTTAACCATGATGTCTACATTGGCCATATCTGAAAGTAGCTTCGTGAAGTTGTTTACATGCTCCCTAATGGAAACTCCCCTCTTCATCTTGAATTGGTAAAACCTCTTCTTCAGATGAAGTCGATTCTCAATGCCATTCGTAAGATACTTCTCATTGAGTATTTTCCACATTCTCTTTATCGACGTCTCGTTCATTACGTTATAAATAAGATCTGGCGTCAAGCATGACCGAATAACTCCCTAAGCCCTACTATTCATCTTTTTCCAAATTTTGTCCTCCGTGTCTTCGGGTTTCTCTTCTAATTCAAGAATCTCCTCTAAATTATGTGCATCCAAGGCATCCATCACCTGACACCTCCATAATCCAAAATAAATCTTACCGTCTAACTTCGGAACATCAATCTTTGTGTTATTGATGCTCAAACTCTGTATCACATTTGTAAGAGACGAACCTGATATGCTTACTTTTCTCATGTTGTCGATCTAACTCTTCAGATAGGAATCTTTTACAGAATCCTTCGAACAAGCCTCAAGCCAAACCTGAAGCTCTAATACCACTTGTTGTGCACAACGAAAATTTTGGCAGTACCTCCAGTGCGCAAGGTGCATAACAAGAGATTAGATCACAACAAAATTTCCGTTTCATAAAGAAAACAAGAACCAAAAGTAAATTATCACAACAAAGTAGGATATCAGCTCTTCATATCATCGGTTCTAGGACTGACTTGTCGAGAGAACCTACAAACTATTACAAATCATACTAAGATAATGAATTTTACGTGGTTCGGCAAATAGCCTACATCCACGGGGCAAGGAGGGGGGCGATCTACTATTAGACGGAGGGAATACAACTAGGGTTTATAATCACACAACCTAAACCCTCAAACAAGCTCTCAAATCTCTCACAAATATCTTCTCTTAAACAGCCGACACCTCTGTACTTCTTCCCGAAATACAACCTAAAAATAATCTGCTTTGCACTTATTTTCTTCTCTACCACTTGCCACAGCCAGAAAAAAAACCTTGTGCCCACGAATCCGCCGCCGGTTTCTTTCTCTGCTCAAAAAATCAACCGTAGTTTTTTTCCCTGCACACACTAACCTAGGGCACATTCAAAGCTATATTTATAGCTTTGAATCGAATCAGGTGGGCTTGCTTACTTTTTTTTCTTCACGCGTTAACATCACATGAATGTGATATTTTCACGTGGTGGCCCCTACAATCAATCCGCATTCACACCTTTTAGGTCTATGGTTGGGTATCGAAAGCCAAGAAGAGTTACATATTGTAGAAGAGAGCAGAGGAAAACAAAGGAGAGAAATCTAGGGACAGTGAGTTACTTTGGTGAAATTGAGAGGGTTTCTTTCGGGTTCTTCTCAAAGACGCTTAAAAGATTGTATCTTGTAGTCTTTAGAATAAAGAAGACTCAATCTTTGCCCTTGGAAGTAGGCGATTGCTGAACCACTTAAATCTCATGTTTTTGTTTTTGTTTTCTTTTCCGTAGTAGATTGCCTTCTCTCTTTTGTTCGAATACATGTTTTCTCAATGTTCCCTATTATTGAAAGATTGATTGTCCTAAGAAGATGGAGGAGATCCAATTGAAGATTTGGTCCACGCTTCCGCATCTTGACATTGGTCCTCAACAATTGATATCAGAGTGATTGTTGTGCCAACAATTAATACCAAAGCTGGATAAATTAGCATAGACTCATCTTTGGAAGAGGGATCAATCTAGCGGCATGTCAATGAGAAGTTCTACGATGAAGACCAAGATTGAGAAGTTCAATATTAAGAGAAATTTTGGGTTTTGACAGAAAAGGTCGAAGGCTGTATTGATTCAACACAACCTAGATCTAGCATTCTTGGAGCTAAAAACAAGCCAATGAAAATGACAAGTAATTAAAGCTTGTTTGAAGACAGATCAAAAGGTGCAGAGTACGGTTCTACTCTTTTTATCGGATAAAGTATCATACAACGAGATTTAGGAGGTGACTAGTTTCGAACTGAGGAATAAACTCACATTGGTGTAAATGACAAGAGTCTATCCACTAATTTGTACTAGAAGCATCAGTTGTATAGATTAAAGATGAAGAAAGGTACATTGGTATTGGATCATTCGAACATCTTCAACGGGATCGTGACCACAGTAGCAACGCCATGGTCAAAGCTAGATGATGTGAACAAGGTGATGATTCTGTTCGAGTCTCTTCTCGGAGTTGTGAACATATGAAGACATCATTGTGTGTAGGCAAGGAGACAATCACCATGGACGAGGTAAATGGCATTTCTCATGTGGGTGTTTTGACGACCGGATGTTGGTGATGATTTAATGTGTTCTAATTATAAACATTACAATTGCACAACTTATGTGCGTGTAGTAAGCAAGTATCAATCCTATGAGGAAGGTGTGATCTAAGAAGGAGCCTAGAGTGGTTCTTGAATTGTGGAAGAAAAGAGAGAATAAATGTTAGTTTGGGTGTTGATTTGTTGCAAATAAAAGGGCTAAAACAAGAAGGAGAGTAAAACTAAGAGAGGAAAGCAAATAAAAGAGTTAAAGAAAATCAAGTTATGAAACTAGGTATATAAGATTGAATCCACTAGCTAATTCCTATTAAAATTTTGAAATTCCTCTCTTTTAATTTCAAGTCACTAGATTTCTTAAACATAGATTACCAAATTATTTAAAATAAGTCATAACCTATCAAATTCATATCCAAGTAATATCACCATTCATAAATAGAAAGAAACAACTAGATAGTCATTCTAGAATTTAAAAAGCATAAACCATCAGACCAATTAAGATAAGTGTAGCCTATCAAAAATTTTTGTACTAAGTTTTATTCTAGTTGATTATCCTAAGCATGATCAATTAACTACAAAAAAGAGCAATTTAAATAGCTTAATCCAATCCTAGATATCCTAGGAAAATTAGCTACTCATATTACTCTTAAAATACAAGAATAAAAAGCAAGAAAATCATAAATTATAAAGCATAAAATCTTAGCATAAATTCGATCTAAGTAAGAAATTAAATCCTAAACATGCATTTCTAAGCGAAAAATAGAAAGGAAAAAAATAAAAAAACTCACATTGCAAGGGGTTGGCCCCTCTTAAAAAAATTCATCAACACGAGAAAAAGAAGAAATTTAAAGAGGAATTTGTTTTTTTTTTTTTTTGCAAAATTAAAATTTTACAATATTTGGAAGGTCTTCTTAAAAGAGTAGTCCTCCTCTCCAAAATAGAGTTTACAAAATTTTTTGTACCTTCACCACTCACTCTACATGCCAATTTATAGACTACAGCACTTCATTTCAACCCTTAAATCTAACTTGAGCTCCAAAAATTAAATTTTAACCATTCATTGCATTCTGTTGGAAACTAATAAAGTAGCTCTTCAATTAGCTAATCTATTAGCGAATAGATTAGTTAATCAATTTGATCATCGATTAGTCTATAATAGAATTTGTCTTCTTTGTTTGACTTGTTGACTCGTCTCCTCTTGGGCTTTTTTAAGGCTACTTTGGGGCTTCAAATACAGGTATTTTGGGTATCTTTGATCTTTTATTTGACATATCCATTAATTTCATAAAACATACGAAATTATCAAGTATATTTATTTAACTAATAGATAATGAGAGAAAAAAATACAATAAAATATAGTGATCATGAGTCACGTGCTGAATTGGTGGCAGATGTGGACAAATTCCGGCGCTAAGTGTTGCTTTTTTGCCAAGGGAAGGATGGCTTAAAATAGAAAAAGTAGTTGAGGGACAAAAGTAAGGAAGGGGCTATAGCCTAGTGATCATCATATGTTGTGGGAGTTATGGAGTGTCAACTAGGGAATACGTTGGTGATTTCGGAGGGTGAAAACTAACGAGTTAAAGAATTGATGATTCCGGACGTTTTCCGGTTTACTTTGTGTTGTTGGAATCCTATTTCCATTAGGAATCCAGATTTCTTTTATATCCGGGTTTAACCCTATAAATACATGCCTTCCAAGTCTACGCCCGGAAGTGGAACGCCGAAGAGAGTTGCATATTGTAAAAGAGAGTAGAGAAAAATAAAGGAGAGAAATCTAGGGTTTGCCAGTTTCATTGGTGAGGTTGAGAGAGTTTCGTGTGGGTTCTTCTCAGGAACGCAAGAAAAGTTATATGTTGTAATCTTTTCAATAAAGAAGACTCAATCTCGATGTGGAAGTAGACAGTTGGCTAGCCACGTAAATCTCATGTCTTTTTGTTCTTGTTTTCCTTTCGTGGTAGATTTCCTCCTCTATTTTGTTTGAGCACATGTTTTCTCGGCATTTTCGTGTCACCGGATGATCGATTGTCCCAGACAGACTAATTAAGGTGATCCAATTGGAGATCCGGGCTGCACTTCTGCATCTCGACCTCGATCCTCAACAATGAGTATCAGAGAGATTGCTACACCAATAGTTCATGTGATAGATGAATCATCTATACACAGATTAGGAGGGAGAGGTAATAGGATGATCTCCTCCGGATGTTCACATGTAGTACCCATAGTCTAAATGTCTACAATTTCACAGCTGAAAATGAATGAAATAGTCTTTCTAGATTTTGATTCCTACCATTCGATCGAGATGATTTAGTGTATGATATTCATCGAATTACCAGAATAAAATTAGACTTTTTATTATAATAGATCGAACTGCAGACCGGATTTATTTATGAAGATCTATTCTGCACGCTACGGAACTTCTGCGATTCTGTCTAACACCATTTTATTTTATACGACTTGTGGTAATTCTCCTTTTCTCTCTTCTATTTTTACTAGCATTTGCTTTGATCACATTTCATATGTCATGCTTGGGTTTTCAGCTTATAAACCACGGAGTAGCGAACGAGTTGGTCGAACAAATGAAGGCTGACATTGAAGAGTTTTACCGGTTGCCCTTGGAGGAAAAGAAAGCGTATGCACAATTGCCAGGTAGCATTGAAGGCTACGGCCATGCGTTTGTTGTCTCAGAGGAGCAGACATTGGACTGGGGAGATATGTTTATCATCAGAACGCAACCACTCTCTTTCAGGAGCATGAGATTCTGGCCGACGCATCCTTCCACATTTAGGTATAACTGTTCGGCTCAGGAACTGCGTTTGATCGTATTGTGATTAACCTGAGGCTTTTTTTTTTTTTTGTAATAAAAGTATAAACATATTCCCTTTTCTTCCCAACTGATTTAGTTTCTGTAATATGCACGGACTCATCTACTAGGGACACATTGGACAAATACTCGACTGCGTTGAAGAATGTTGCGGAACTCTTGCTAGGATCGATGGCAAAGAATTTGGGTCTCTCGCCAGAAGAGTTTACAAATTTGTTTGGTAATGGATTCCAAGCTGTGAACATGAACTACTATCCCCGGTGCCCTCATGCCGACAAGGTGCTAGGCCTCTCACCTCACTCTGATTCTGTAGCTTTGACGTTGGTCCTTCAAGTCAACCAAGTGGAGGGGCTCCAAATCAAGAGGAACGCAGGGTGGCTTCCCATCAAGCCGATCCCTGGTGCTTTCATCGTCAACGTAGGCGACGCGCTCGAGGTAAGAATCATGGTTTAGCCTGTCGAGATGAGACCATCAATGGATCAGCAAGGATATCTAGTGTCTGCGAGAATATTATGCGTATCAACATTTTCACTGAATTATTTTTGTTCCGCTTAACTGCCAAAACTTTTCTCATCAAACACCTCAAGCTAACACATTTAGTCTTAGCCCCCCACGCACGCCGAGCACAAGACTTCAATTGACCAAAATAACCCTCAGGAAGACAAACATGCACTCTATGTCCTTATTTTCTATTTTGGTTGATGCACGTTTATGCACAAGACACCCATGGACTATTGATTTGTTTGCACAAAACCCCCATATATGATTTTTTTTAAACCTCAAAAGCCACCCCGAACTTACGATTTAGTTCCCAAAGAAACCTTGAACTTGTAATTAATCGTTCAATGTGATTAACAAACTGATCAGATATATTATGTGGTTTTCCAATTGAGGGTATTTGGATGACTGCACATTCAATAGCAACCGCTATTCGAGGGGCATGTTGGGAGAAGTTGAATGTTCTAGAGGGATTATATAAGACACCCAAATTTTCAGGGAGTTTAGTGGGAAAATATTGGGCTTTAGTGGAATAAAGGAAGTTAGCGGGGCTTGGTGGGAATTCTTGAGAATTTTGATGCGGAACTTTATGAAAGAATGTGGACAAAATCACGCGAACAAGAAGTTTTTATACGTGATTCAGCAATGTGAATACATCCTTGAGAGAAAGGGAGAATTTTTATTACTGAACAAGAAGAATACAATATTATTTCATTTATCTTTCTAATCAATCTTTCAATCTAAGCTAGATTGGAATTTGACTTGAATTGTTCCAAATACAAGCCATATTCAACCCTTTCTAATCAATAAAAGGCCATGATAGATCAACGCCTTTTATAGTCAAAGAAAAGGAGTTGTTGGTAACAAACCTCCTTCAATTTTATCCTTGATGTGATACCAAAAATATATACGTACATAGAAAATTTGAAAAAAAAGAAAAAAGAGAGAGAAAAAAGAAAATCTTAAAAGGCACTATTTAGAAATTAAACCAAATAAATAGACACCAAAGTTTTCTCCATAATAATATATGGTATTGTGATGCTTCTACTGGACTTGGAAGACTTGAGCTGCAGAAACTAGGTCCTACTGTCAATCTTATAAGTTGACAGTCTAATAAAAAAATTTCTTCACCGAAGAAAAATACTAATTAAAACAACTCAAGCTCTTGGTCATGAGACATGACTTGAAACTTGTTTTACCTAATATTGTTAGCAATGACTAAACCTCAGAGAGTAATTAATTAATTGTGTCCCTAGCTTTCTTGTTTTTTTATCTCATTTTTCATTGTTCATTTTAATTTGGCAGGTACTTACCAACGGGAGATACAAGAGCATCGAGCACAGGGTAATTGTAAACCCTGAGAAGGAGCGGATGTCAATCGGCGCGTTTCACAGCCCAAACTGTGATGCCTTAATAGGTCCTCTTCCGAAGCTCGTTGAAGGAAGTGAATGCTACAAGACGCTGAGCCATGAGAGCTACATGAGGTTGAATGCCTCAGCTAAACTTGATGGAAAGAACCGTTTAGCGCAGATGAAGCTAAAATGATCGAATATATGATTTTGTGATGTGATAAAAGCATTTATGGTTATCTACCAACAGGATAGTATGATATGTTAAAAGTTTAAAATTCCTTATCTAAATTAAGAACAGTGGTTTCTTCTTGTAGTTCACTGCAATATCATTTGAATCTGATAATTAATGCGTATGGTTTATGGCCACCGCACGACCTGAAGGAAACTGCAGAAAACTGCAAAAGCTATATTAAACAGCATAGAACTGCGAATAAATAATCTCTTTCGAATATTCTCGATAACTATGGGAGAAACTGTTGCATTGGGCGGCTACACAGACACAAAAGATGTCTATATAAAATGGATAATAATACAGTATTATGTAATCACAGTAGAGACAGAGAACAGCACAAGGATTTAACGTGGTTGGGTTAGTATGGCCTACGTCCACGGGCGAGAACAACAAAAAAATTCGTCATTCACAAAAGAGAATATTGCAAAAGGAGACCACTCTAATATCTCCCCAAACTCACACAAAGAAGAGAACATTCAATGAAAACTCTCTCTTTCTTCTCGCTGGTCTGAATGCATTTAACTCTCGTCTTCATAGGTATTTATAGCTTCAGAAGGGTTAGTGAAATAGTGAGAGGGTTGGCAAGTTTTGAATTCATATTCGGAGTCAAAAAAAACCAACAGAAACCAATAAAAGTTTGTTGACAGACTTTTCTATACCTTCTCATTTTTTTCACTCTCTGTTGTTGGCAGCAGGTTATACTTCGAAATGATTTATCAGAAGATTCTACATTGCTTGATGGTTCTTGTTGACATATAATGTTGTTATGACATTATCACTATTATTATACAACTTGAACTTGTAGGAGAGATTAGCCAGCTTTTTTTGGAAGCGGCACCGAGAGAAAATTCTTCAATCCAGTAAAGTTAGAGAATGGAGTTAGAATCGGCAAATGATGGCGTGAATCCATCCCAGCAGCGGGGAACTGGAACACTTCCAGTTGAGAATGTAATGGATCTTGCTGCTTCAAAGGACCAGACTGAGATCCCTCAAAGGTTCCTCAGATCTGATGTGGTGTCAGGATTCCATGGTACTGTTGACGATGAGATTCCAAAAGTTGATCTTGGGAGACTTCTTGATCTTGCGTCCTTCGAGGCTGAAGCCACCAAGCTGAGATGTGCATGTGAAGAGTGGGGATTTTTGTAGGTGAGGAGTACTTTTTCCAGTAAGATTTGTCAATGTCTTTACCGAGTAACAAGATTTATTGGATTCTAAACAAGCCTCAATTAATTTTTATTGGATTCTAAACTAACGTCAATTAATAACGCAGTGCGGAAGTAAAACATCGGAATCCATCAAGGAGTGTTCTCTGAATCTACAAAGAACGATCTCTGAATCCATGAAGAACTTCGAATCCACGAAAAAATATTAAAATAGAAATTTTATTGGTGTACTCTGAATCGAATAAAATAGAAAAATTTTATTGGATTCTAAACTAGCATGAAGGTCTCGTATTATCTACTCTGATACCAATTAACGCAGTGTGGAAGTAAAACCTCGGAATCTACCAAGGGTGATCTCTGAATCCACAAAGAACGATCTCCAAATCCACGAAGAAATATTAAAAGAGAAATTTTATTTATGAAAAGATATTCTTCATTGGGGTTACATGACTCTTCTTAAATAAAAAAATAAATAAGATTCCTAGTAAAACTAGAATTACAAAGAAATAGAAAGCATCAAATTTTATCCTTAAAAAACTTCCTATAATAGAGGAAACAAATCATGAATCAATATTGAATTGTTTTCTAATCTAATTTGACTCTAAATTTGAATTTATTTCCTAATCTAAATAGACTCTAACTTTATTACTAAAAATAAACTAAGTTATTTTCCTCGACTGGATCCGCATTTGGGTTTGTGTCTGTCCTACTTCCCTGTGTGTTCTACATTTGTTAATTTTTCATCTCTCCTTTGAAAGGGAGAGCATTTCTCTGATTAGTCACGAAGAACGAACGCTGTTCTTATGTGGGATAATCTCATGAAGTGTGCTGGGGAATAAGCGGAGCATCTTCTAATCCTATGTTCATTCAGTAGGGACGTCTGCATTGAATCCTAACCTCCCCCTTCGTATTTGGATCTGCGGTTTTCTTGGCATCGCGTTGATGTGCAAAAAGAGTATAGAGCTCGTTGGACTTCCGCCCTGTCCAAAAAAGCACATCTTCCCTGTCCAATTCCTGGTCCTCCAAAACAGCAAATGTTTGGACAGGATATGTCACGCCCCGAAATCTGCATCCGAAAATTCATAAAATATGGGGTACGCGACAACAGCGACCCGTGCACAAGACAAGTCTTATGCACGAGTCAAGCCTGGCAATTCATATCACATAGTTTATTCCAAAATATTTATATACCTGCTGATGATAGAAATCAGAGCAACTATATATATATATGATCGGTACTTACAGCCCACAAGCTCACCGTTATAAACATTTTTATAAAATAAAACAAATTGTGCTGAAGATAACATCAAAAAGAAGAGGCTCTCCATATCACGCCTCTCAGCCAAAAGGTCAAATCAAAAGTCGGCTAATAGGAGCTACGCCGGATCTGGAAAAAAAAATATTTAAAAACACGGGGTGAGCTAGCGCTCAGTGAGAACATTTCCCACTAGAGTTCCTAGATAACTAACAAAATAGTAATAAGAATAGTTCTCAGAAATTAACAAATTTTAAGTTTTGCATGAGAAATTCACAGATAGCAGAATACGATCCAAATATCGTAATATTGTCATTTTTAAGAAAGAATACAACAATTATATTTTCTTTCTCATGTGCAACTCTTTTTGAATCAAGGTAAACATTAAGAAGAAAAAGAACTACTAATTTGTATAAAATCAGAGAATTGTTGTTTTCTTAATTTTCACAGTCAATTATCAGAATCTTATTTCTCGATGAGTATTTCATGAATGTAAAAGTCACCCCATAGGTCACACTAAGGCTACGAATTTTAACCCAGTAGCAAGGGAATGCGTAACCGCATCAGATAACAGATAATTCCCGAGAACCGAATGCACCTAACACTGCCATAGGCTACTGGCCAAATACAGAGGGGCCAGAACAAATTTCAGAAAGGCCAATACAGAAGGGCCAAGGCCAATACAGAAGGGCCAAATAAAGGTGCATTCACCATATGGTAGGCAGAACCAATCCATAGTGGACTATTTGAGGGTTTTGAAAACATCAAGATCACATATCAAATGAGAAATACTTCGCATATCAGAATTTGCATATATTTCAAATGAAATTGACAAGGTAAAGCTACTCATTTCAGTTAAAGCAGATTACAGATATTTACTTTTTTTTATCAGATACTAAGTTACGGCAAATCTTTGAATCCGTTAAACGGTTGAAATACGTTCCAAATACTTCATCAAAACTTTCAGATAAACCAAAGTCTACAATTATTTGAAAATTGCATGAGAGTCAAATTTATTTTTCCATATTTTACATAAGTTCAAATTGACTTTTCATATATTGTACGAGGCTACCATCATATCATAGGATAGACCACAATAGACATAGGTCAAATCTTTAATATACATGAAAAGACATATTATTTATTTATTTATTTGTTCTATCACAAGATAAATCAAATATAAAACTCAGGCAATTTCATATTATAAAAATACTAGTGAGAAATGAACTCACCTCTAGTGGTCACGACTTTCTCAAAATATTAGTCTCCCGAATATCAACCGGAACCTATAATATAAGATATATGACTAATTATTAATTCAGAACAAACATATATTATAGGTAAATCAATTCATAATCTAGAGTCTAATAAATTCAATTATAATCAATAATGATTAAATTCTATAGTACATATGAGCTTATTGTTAATTTTAGCAATTTATCAAAATTTTATAACTCTCATATACTAGCTTTTGGACTTTCTAGTAATTTATAATAATGCAGGGGGTTATAGGAAATTTATCAAGCCTAAAAATTATTGTTTATTCCTAAGACTGGACTTATTTACAAATTGAGTAAATAACAGGGTTTAACAGATATCTTCCAGCCAATTTCAACCATAACTCAGTTACTAAGGTCTGTTAGAAATTTTTTCATGATTTAGGGGCTTAAAGTAAATTTTTCCTCTCTTTATATTAAAAACAGCACCTGATCATCATCCTCTCCCCCTTCTTCTTCGTTTCTTCTTTTTTTCTCTTTTCTTTTTTTTTTCGTTCCTCTTTCTCCTCATATGTTCTTCTTTTTTTTTTCCTTCGGTTCTCCTCTCCTCTCCTCTCATCTCTCTCTCTCTCTCTTCCGTCTCTCTCTCTCTCTCCCTCTCTTTCTCTCCGCCATGGAGGTGGGACGGCAACGAGAGGCCATCAACGACAAGGAGAGGCCGACG